AAAGGAAGCAAGGTTAGAAACGAGAGGGTTGGGAGGATTCTGAAGTTTATTGTGGAAGGATAGGTATCCGGATTGGGCCAGGTCTGAAAAATAAGGAACATTAAGGTCATTATGGATGGTTTTATTTGTAACAAAGTAGGGAGCTATGAGGATTTTACGAAGGATTTTGGATTGTAAGGAGTGAATAAGAGAGGAATTTGATGGTTTAGTGGAGCCCCAAAGTTCAATTCCGTAAGTTCAAATAGTTCTTATTATTATCATATATATGAGTCGTTTGTAATTGATTGAAAACTTAGAGCAGGGAATTGTTAAAGGATAATGTAGGACAGGAGGTCATAGGTTTACGATGCAGGGTAAAAGTAATTTGATGAGATTTATTGGAATTTATTTTAATTCTTCAGTTTTTACACCATTCTTCAAGGTTTGTGATATGTGATTGGAGAGTTTGGGATACAGTTGATGGATCATTATTAACAGATAGGATACATGTGTAATCAGCATACGTGGTGATGACAGTGTCAGAATGGGTTGGGATCTCAGCTGTATAAACTATGTAAAGGATAAGACCAAGGATACTACCTTGAGGAACACCAGCAGACGGGGAAAAAAGGGATGAATAAGTGTTTTTGTGATTTACTTTAAAGCATCTATCAGTTAGGTAGGACCGGATAATGAGGAAGTACGTAGGTGGTAGGAATTTATGGATTTTGTACATCAGTTCCGGATGCCAGACCCTATCAAACACCTGTTCAACGTCGAGAAAGACTCCCGTGCAGTACAATCCGCGCTCCAATGCATAGGAGACTACGTCCACCACACGATGACATTGCTGGATAGTTGAATGAGATGTGCTGAATCCAAAGATCTGTGTTTCAAAACTTTAAAACAGGAATGATAAAATTTTATCATGAAAGTATGAAGGCAGAAAATATGCTGTTGTTTTTTTTAACAAAACATATTTATTTTCAAAACATTCCATTTTTTTTTTATTGGACTAGGGTTCCCAATACTTTTTACACTCACTGTTATGGTTTAATATATATAAATCAATATCTTAACTAAAACATCTGGAGTGCTTCTAGTAGATATTTTTTTAGGGTAATCAATAGCTTTCATCAACATTTTCTATTCTTTGTGTCATAATTTATGTTGTTCTTCAGTAAAAAACCATCCGATCTCCAATTTTACATGTTCATTATACAAATTATAAAGTAAGAGATATGTTTTTACAGTATTTTATTACTAATACTTACAGATAAATAAAAATTGTAATTATTATTTATACTTTTTAAATTAAAATTTACAAAATATAAAAACATTTCGTATACTTGATAATGACTCTACTTTTAGCCAAAAATTCATCTTTAAAAATATAAAATACATTTTTGACAAATGGCCTTTGAATGCCTTTGGCACTTGAGAATAAAATGAATAGCTGTTTTAGAAAATTAGAAAAAAAAGTTTAAATATAAGATGAATCAACAAACAGTTTTCTGGGCAAGTGATTAAAATAATTAATGTTTTAATGATAAAATTATTATCTTATTATATTATTTCAACAAGGTAGTTAGTTATAATAAATAATATTTAATTATCTTGAAAATTAAAACATGTGGGAAAGCTGTTATTATTTGAAGAAAGGTGTAATCCTTTCATTGTGATTAAATAATATTACTGTATAATATACACTGCTACAGCATAAATTTAAATTTACTGATTTCAAAACCAACTTGATCCATATTCGAGAATTTACAGAAGATACCAAAAACATAGAATAGTGCTCTATTTAATCTAGTTAACTCCATGAGTTTGAACCATACCTGGACGAAAAGTATTTAGTTTTTCTAAAATACAATTTTAATCACCTAATATTTCAATTTCTACTTACTTTTAATTTACTTCCATTATTTATTTAATGTAATAAGTATTTAAATTTCAAATACAAAATACTTTTTCTGTAAATAATTTAAATATTTTATGATTAAAATTGTATTTCAGAAACACAAAATACTTGGTATTTTAAAATACATTTTTGTCCAGGTCTGGTTTCAAGCTATTTTTATGTTATTTTGCTCCATATGGCTTTAGGAGATGTAGTGCATTGAGAACTTTTAAAAAATAAAATAATGTTTAGTGAAAAAAAGTGGAATGAGTCGGTTTTGAAACCAATCATGTCATATTCAAATCTAATTGTAAGTTAGACACAATGTTTGAGGTACCAAAAAAAAAAAAAAAAGTAAATAAATAAAATTAGCAAAACTTAAATTTTTTTCAGCAAAAACTAAATCCTCAATTAATATGGTACCACTAACAGATCTAGGATTTAATTTTTGGGGTGCTCCAGCCCAAACAATTTTTTTTAAATGTATATATTACGATAATTACTTTGGAAAAAAGAAAGAAACTAAATACCTATATGAAATGGTATTTAAGTGATTCTTTAAGTCTTATTGAATGTAGTTAGACGAACAATAATATATTTAGAGACCATTTTTTTCATAAAACATGGTTATTTTACCATTTTGGGGGGCTTCAGCCTGAAAGCCCTCCTCTGTAGGTCCGCCTGTGTATGGTACAATGGTAATATGTTTAACCAAGCTAGTGTTTGCCATAATTTCTATTTGCAATACCATTGTATGAATTCTTTTCAACATTACTAGCTTTTGATAATTGATACTATCGAAGAAATGTATCCCAAAAAAAAATTGATGAACTTGCTTATATAATGTTGGCATGTTATGTAATTTATCATATTTCAAAGATATTTGTTCTCTGAAATTTCTTACATGGCTGGAAGAACAAAAACTATTTTGGAAGAAAACCAATAAAATTAATTATTTTACTCTGTAATAAAAATACTTATAACGTCTTTGTTATGTTGTGGTATTAACAATACCCCATTTTCAGAATGGCTCCCTGTACTAATATTTCAGTGTGGTAAATTTTACCATGAAATCTCCTTATTTCATTTTTAATCCAAAATAAATTTTGTTAATTCCTTAAAATATGCAAAAACAATTTTTTTTATGAGTATCATATCAATTTACTGCTATGTATGCAAAAAAAAAATTAAAAACACAAATAATCTTATTTAAAATGAAATAAGGAAAACTTTTATTCACTTATTCCCAAAGAAGAGATAATTTTTATATTTTTGAAACAAATGTCGTAGTTATGTAATAATAAGAAAAAACTTTTTTTAATTAATTTCTTTAAAATTATTTCCATAACTCATAAATTGTTAATCCATAACAATAATGCAAAAAATATCAAACATGTTATATTTTTATAAATACAATATTTATAAGTTATATAACATATAAATATTGTATTTAAATTATATTGTATTGTGTTAAATATGTAGAAACTTCTGTCGCGATGAATTATTACAATAGTTTAAAAAAAAAAAACATTTCTTGAGTATCAAATATCAAAAATAATGTTAAAAAGTATCGCAAACAATAGTATAAAAAAATAGAAGATTTTGGTACCATATTAAGTTAGGTATAGCAGATATTTATCGAATAAAACTAAATCAATCGAATCAAAACACATCGAAATTGTTTTGGATCCATCTAGGGCTCATTTTCTTTACATAAATTATAATTTAACAAAAAAATGTAAAATTACCTAGAAGAGAATAATAATAAGCTACAAAATAATGATAAAAGTCACGCATTCAGTAATGTGCCTATATGGGAGAGAGAGTATATCTAAAGGGGATATTTTTCATTAATGTTTTTTCTTAATTGAATATAATTTTACTAAAAAAAAAAATACTTTTTTAATCAGATGAGAAGAATTTCGTTTACATTAAAAATTTTAAATGTTGGTGTTTTAATTTATTTCTTTTTTGTGTATCCTCAAATATTTTAGAAAAAAAAATAGTTTTCTCAACATTAAAAAAAAAAATTTTTTTTGATAAATTACATGGAATTTACAATTTGATATATAATATATATATATATATATATATATATATATATATATATATATATATATATATATATATATATATATATATATATATATATATATATTATACAGTTGTTAAGAAATAAAAATAAATCTATTTTAAAAAACAAAAATAAACTAAAGGCACCTGTGTACTTTAGTTCTGTGGGTCTTAATAATTGGGCTTCTACTGATAACAAGAAGGTTAATTGGACTTCATCTGGAGGGGTCCATTTTAAAACTTTTTCTTGGACTGAATTAACATCCAGAAATCATCCAAATGTAAATTAATCTTTCAAATTGTTTAATAATATTATTTTTAAATTATACTTTATTTATGTTTGAGATTGATCAGAGCTAAATAATGTAATTAAAAATAAATCTTATATACTGAATTATCAGTGGTTATATAAGATCCAGCCATCTTTAAGGAGTATTTAAGTTAAGCCAAGAAATTACTTCTAATTAATTGATTGATTTATTAATGTTTATTTTACTAATTATTGATTGTATGTGAAACGTGTTTAAATATGCGATTTAGTATTATTAATATGTGTAAAGTAAAGTAATATATTTTGATTACAAATGTATAAGCTAGAACGCAATGTTTTGATTAAAAATAAAATAAATATTAATGTACTAACCTTTTTTTTTCAGTGGAAACCTATTAACATATTATTGTCCATTAACATGGATCACATTAAAATCAAAACACAAAACCTACAATTATGGTAGACTAATGACGTTTCCAGGTCTCAAACAAGAGACACGACACTCTGGCAAGTCCGGCGAAGCCCTACTCGATACTGGCGTTACATAAGAGGTTACGTAACAGAACGGGGTGCGTGTTTTTGTTTGTGCGTATAGGCCCGATGATGGTCCTTTGACATTTTTAAAATCGATCGATCTCTTTTAAAGATTTGGCTAACGATTTTCAGGTGCATCTCCAAAAGTTTTCACGGAAAACCAAAACCGAAACAGAAGCTTTTCTGGTACCCCCACCACCTAAGAACCAGGACGTATCCTGTACTCTTTAATGTCTGAAGAACCAGGCACTTTGGGGGAGTCGCTGGGAGCAAGTACTCAACTCCCGAAGAAGATTGGTAAGTAGATCAATTATATCCAATTTTATTTTCATATAACTAATTATTAACATACTAAAGTATATGAAATTGACATTAAATAACATTGAATGAAACAGAAATAAAGAAAATTTAATTTATTTCTTTAATATACAACTCCTATAATATGAAAAAAAAAAAAGTAGAAGATACACTAAATTTATTATACTTGATCTTGAATTTATTCATTAAAAATGGTCCACCAGTCTTTCGTCCGGTAACTTTAACGCACTGAACACCCAAGAAGTGACTCTTGTCTTGTTCAAATAATGTTAATTCAAAACTCAATTTTTTATTATTAAAATTATAATAGTTTATTTGGTATAGAACATCCCCTTAGATGTGTAGGCACAATAATCAATGAGCCGGTATTTATAAAAAATAAATAATTGAACTTCATATTTATTCAGTGCTAATTAAAAAAAATTATCATTTTTATTGCAGTAATTTATTATATATAAAAAAAGAGCTAAACCAGTTTCAACAGAAATATATCACACAGTTTGAAAACCGGCTCACGCATTTTATTGCAAACAAAAAATTTTTTTATTTATTTTTGCCTTATTTTATTTACCTTGTTATAAGCCTTCTATTTCAGTCTAAAAATGGGTCCAAACTCATAGATTCTTTTGCATCATATCACATGTTTTTAATTTAAATAACCTATAACTTTTTTTTTTCAAAAATCATTGAGTCATTTTTTATAGTAATCGTCATATATGAGTCGTTTATTTCCAAAGTTATCCTTAATTGACATAGACAATTTTTCAGAAAACGCGACTATATTTTGTATTCCAATTGTAATATTAAAACCAATATATTTTTTTGTTCAAATAAATTTTAAAATCTTTATTTGTAAAACATATTTCTGAAAATCACTGATTATTTTAGTTTTAATTTGAACATTGAAACTTGAACAGGATCCCTTTTGGAAAGAATCGAACTTGTAGTCCGGTTTTTGAACAAAAAATAGGTTGATTGGCGTTTCTTTTTGAGATAAAAAAATTGGTGTGTTCGGGCGGTGAAGGGGGGAGGATATAAAAAGTACACTATAAAAAAAATAAAATTATTGTTTACTATAATGGCACAATAAAATTAATTTATTTTTAATTTTTATTTGGATAAAACGTTTTTTTTTAATGAATACTTAAAAAGCGCGAGTTTCAGTACAATCCTTTTTTTAAAAATTCCGATTTGGGAAATAAAATTATTTTCACATTATTTTTTTTTTAATTTAGGTTTTCAAAAAATCATTGGGTAATTTTACATGTGTACTTATCTCAATTCACATAAAAATCTATTAGAAATCACTTTGAAATTAAGCGACTCTTATAATTCATCATTATTTTTTTTTGTTTCTTTACTTTAATATATAACTTGTATGATTGTATGTTCATATTTATTTTGTATACAAATTTTAAAATACAAAGACGTCAAATAGTGAATAGTCATACAAGTCGGAACGACTGCTTTTCCAATTTTATTTTAATTTGGTTAAAAAAAGAAATAACATGAAGAAAATATAAATTGGTATAGGTAATTGCCGCTATAATTAATTGAATGTTATTTTGATTTTAACTTATAGTTAAATAAAGCGTTAATACAATTGGTATGCTAAAATGGCGGTGAGTCAAAATGACTGAAACCTGTTTTAGTGCAAATGAGACCCCGCTAAGCCTCTATTATCCATTGCTTATAAGCTGGTTTACTCGTTAGTAGGAATATTCGCAAGTTTCCATTATTTTCTACTGCTTAGTATAATTTTACGATAGTATACTATAACATTATAGTATATTATTGTAAATAGACATGATATTAGTGTTACCCAAATGCGAGACTGAGACGAGTATTGGTCTTGCAAACTCAGTCTTGGTCTAGCGAAAGACTCTCCTAACAGTCTTGCAGTTATCTATTAGCTTATTACTAGAGAGATATTATATGATAGGCGGTGTTGGTCTTGATCTTGCAAAGTGCAAGACCAAGACCGATTTTGGGCAATACTACATGATATCAATGCTATTACAATTCATCCATTCGAAAACATATTCTTTAAAACATTGGGTAGGTCATCACAAACATCTTTAAGATCCAATTTATCCCGTATCGATCTACAGACCTACCACCGTTCCAGTATTGAAGCCTAGCAAAATGTTTGTATCGACTTTATTTATTTTAGAAAGAAAAACAAAAGTGGAGAATACGATTCGCTAATCCCCCTTGAAATTCTGAATCCAACAGTACCGCATTAATGGTATTTGAGCATGACAGGAGCTTATATTTGGTACAAAACCGATTTCGAGCCTTGCTGTAATAATACATGTGGGGATTAATTTTCTGTTCATATAGGACTAGTCAACATTTAATTATTTAAATATATTATCGAATTTATTAAAGGCTATTAGTATATATTTTTCCAACCTATAAACACTGCTTGAAATATATTCTACGGCTTCAACTTCTTCTTGTCTTATTTCACAAAAGTATGACCAAATTGTTTACATTATACAGACTACTCAACAGAAACTCTAATTCCTCAATAGACAATAAATTATTAATATACAAGGTCATACTCAAACCCATCTGGACCTATGACCGTGAACTATGGGTGACAGCTAAATTTTCGAACATCAAACGCATCCAATTCTTCCAATCTAAATTCCTTCGTACGATAATCAATGCGCCTTATTGTATTACAAAAAAAACTCTACATCATAACCTTAACATTCCTTATGTCCTTGACGTTATTCCATCCCAATTCCCCAATTTTCATCTGAACCTAATAAATCATCCTAATCCCTTAGCACAATCCTTATCCAGTTCCAGTCATCCCTACAATCCTCCTCGAAGGTTGAAACAGCCGTGGCCTTGAGATATTTTGTATTCTGAATACGTCACTGGAGTCCTGGCAATGGCCAGATTCTCCACTCAAGTCATGAGTGTATGTAGCTTTAGTGCCCTTTCTCAGTCTCCATTGGATTCCTATCCCGCTGATGCATGCGGCTGAGAGAGAAGCGCTGAGATCTCTTAGAGGCTTGCCATATCCTCCACACGTGGGGAAAAAAGCCCGACTTGGAGCTCCCTCGGCTGACTGTAGATATTTTAAATAACTGTAAATGTTTTTATATTTGTATTTATGTAGTCTCATGTATTTCTTCTGTTTTACTATGGTTTCTTTTTCTTTCCTTTGATATAATTTCTATTTTTTTTGTTGTTGTATATATTGTATGAATGAGTCTCTCACATCTCAAATACTCAATGTCCTTAATAGAGGCAAAAATAATTGTGGGCGACAAATCCATAAAATGTGCTAATTCGTGCAGTGAACCCAAACATCTTTGCAGAATAAAAGAAGTGACATAGGGATGTACTCTTTATGAATCGAATTTCTGTCATTATTTGGCTAAATTTGAAGCTATCGAACAAAATATGCAATTGCACTAAAATCCGGTCAATAATCATACGTTTTTCGTCATATTACATGTTAGTTATTTTATACGTTGAATATTAATTTTTATAAAAATGTTTTGCTTTCCAACGATATATTATACTGTATCATATTACTACTCTGACTTCTGGAAATTGGTTTTCAACCTGGAAATTTTTTTCTTTTTTTTTAATTATAATTTTTTTTAATTTATATTAAGTCATTTTTGGTTCATTATTTTCAATAATGAACCATTGTGATCGGACGAAAAATTCAAAAGCTTAACTCCCCCCCCCCCATAAAATTTGAGGTTAGAATTCGAAAAACGAATACAATTTTTTTATCCGTCCGCCATCCGTGCATTTTCTTCGAAACTACTGGACCGATTTTTTTCAATTTGGATTTAAAATTAGAGGTCTCCCAAGGATGATCCTCCTTCATCGACGTTGCTATCCGCCTTTTACTTTCAAGATGGCGACCTAAAAACCTGCGTTGCTATAGACTGTAGCGCCTAAAGGAATGTACCGATTTCAATGAAACTTTTTCTCAATACCCTATAAATTTATCTATGTAACATAATTCAACGAAAAATAAGCAGCAAAAAAAGCTAAGAGGTGGTAAAATTAGATTCCGAATAACTTAAAAAGTATACACTTGTTTGTTGATATTGTTTATTGTTATTCAAAAGATTTTGGAATTTCCTTTAAAACAAAAAAAAAAAAAGTTATAATCGGACAATTAGTAGCAAAGATATGGTCTCTAGATGTTTTTTATATGTTCTACTGCATAGGTTTTGGTTTTGATTTTTGAATGGGTTACTGAAGTAATACTATTTTTTTTAGCATATTACTAATGATTAAAAAAAAAGTTTGGTGTAATAATTGGAACCACCTTTTATTTCTTTTTCTTTGTCACCAGGAAAGTAATGGTACTTGAGATGTATAATTGTTTGGAAATAATGAACCGTTGTGAAATAATTTGCAGCGTTTTTACTAGTAACTATGAGAGGCTGTTAATAATTTAAAAGCATATTAAAGGTATTTCAGGGAAAGTTATTTTGAAAATTCGGCATTTAGACACTGTCGGACCAAATGAATGTGGATAAGCCCTACGTGATATTAATAACCATTTAATTATTCATTTATATAACGGGTTTAATTGAAATTGTTATAGTCATTTTCGAAAAAATATCTATGATGGTATCAATTGTACCATAATATCTCGCAAAACATTTTTGGGACACTTAGTTATTTGATCTCAGATTTATCAATTTGTTTTTCTATTAAAAACTCGGATAATTTTTTTCTTGTATTATTTTATTTCAGGGACTTGTATTAGAACATATTGTACATTGATGTATAAGTGACACAAAACGCTTGAAATCTCCTCTTTTTTTTTTTTAATATTGTAAAAATGTTATTCGTTCGATATTGTTTTTATTTTATAATTGTAAATAGACTACTCATCAGGGAAAGAAATCACGATGTATTCCATTATTCTATATTCCTTGTACAGGTAAATGAATGTTATGTTCATATATGTCGGTAGTTCTTGTATA